TGCTATTAACAAAAGCAATGTGCTTTGTATAAAATTTTGAAAATCCTTAGCTAGTAATCTCGCCTTACACCACATAAGTGCTGCTGTACTTAATGACTTATTTGACGTATATCTAGCCTGCGGGGAGAGGGCAGCTGCTCATTTGCAGTTTTAAGTGGTAGGGCAAGCTGAATCAGTGTACTTTGAAATGCTTAATAGATACAAAATCAGAAACCCAAACCAGAGGCTGATCTGTATTTTTGTGCCTTTTTCCTTAGCTTTTATGTGTGTGTAGCATGTATGTTTGGATTCCTGAAAAAGGCCTTTCCAGAGAAAAATGGAGGTCAAAATCTGACATCCAAAATGCACACCTTTAGTGCATAAAAAAGAGAGGTGGTGGTCTGGATTTACTTGTGGTATGAGTGTAATAATTTTAGAAAAACTGAACACATTGATTGTCTGTGGTTCATGCAAGCCTGATGTATGGAGAGGAGGTCGACTTTTTAATGGGAAGGAAGATTGTGGTAAGCCTTTTGGTTCCCCTCGCATCACTGCCCTGGCAAAGGACACACTTCAGTATGATCATAAGCGCATGCACTTGTTGGCTTCACTGGCATGTGTACATTTGGTTATTCATTGACAATAAATTAGCCAGCAGTCATTTAAAATGCAAACTAGGTAGCATGCAAACCAGTAATAGTTTGCCAGGGTTGTAGCAGCTAAAGAGAGCCCTTTAAAGCCCTTTCCTTTTATGAGATGTGTTGTTCAGATTTAACACAGTTACGAACAGTATTTATTGATTCCTATGTTTTGTAGCAATATATATAAACCGTGCCCTCGGTTCTGTTTGCATAATTAGGGGCACAAGGTGCTTAAGTGGCTTGTTTGTGTTAACTGTTGTGCACATCCTTTTAGGGGGTACCCGCCATAACTGGAGGTGCGCGGTGGGGAACATGGTGTAGCCATGCTAGTAGAGCGTTATGCCAGGGCTAGTAAGTCCTGTCTGTCAGTGCATGCCTTCAATCACACCACTGCTTGTGCAGCTATATAGCTTCAAGACTGGAGCAGTCTGGGGCGGGGTTAAACACAGAACAAATGCACGAGTTTATTAAACTTGGGTGTCAGTTGTGTTTTGGGATCTGTCTGAACGGACTGTGCAAGGGCTACCAGTATCATTACAAGTAGGGTGAAACTTGAAAAAATTCTGTTTGCCTGTACTTAACTGGTCTTAGAATTAGGTTTAACAAGACTGAGAAACATTTACCTTGCTTAGAGCAACTGTAAATTGTGTTGTTTGAAGCAAGGATCTTAAAGAATTTATCAAATATTGCTGGCATCAACACTGTAGTATTACAAAGCACTTCTTTAAAAAAAACACCGTTTTCTAACACCAGACTTAATACCTTCCTGTGCTGAATAGAGATACTTAAAAGAACTGTTAGCAGTTATTTTGCTTAAGAAGGAATTTTCAGCAGTTGGTCCAAACTTTTGTCCTACAACTGCAAATCTAAAGAACATACAGGGCTGCCTTAGCATACGTGAATGGAAAGGTGCAGTTGTCTAACTCTGAATGTCTTGTGTGACTAGTAAGTATTTGTTATCTGTAATAGTGAAAGTGTTAGTTTCCTGGTTGACTTTCAGAGAATATTAACAGTTTTTCTTCTTGTTTTTAATATCTGGAGTAATTCTGTGAATAGCAAAACTTTTCACTTAGGTATTATCGTTGACGTTTATCAAGCTAAATAATTTGTTTTATTGAACTTTTTCTTAACTTGAGATGATATTTGAAATTGAAGTGGAAAACAAATTATTGTGTTGTTTTAAGTAAATTACTAATTTGTATGTAAACTCAAAGCACTGCCTTTGGCAGGTCTGTGGTGAAGCATGTTAATGAAACCTGACAGGCTTAGGAATTTGTTTCTTCATGTGCAAAAGGAAAGTTGCCAGATTTTTTCCTTCCGTATTGGCAGACATGAAGCTTTTGGTATTGTGTTGATGTTTGCAGAGCATTACTAATTATAAAAAGCAGATGAGCAACCTTTGCTTAGTTCTGGCAAGCTATCTGCCTTAAGTGATTGATGATTCAAACGGTTCTGTAGAAGAATCTGCTTTTCCAAAACTGTTACTGGTTTGCGTTGTTCATTGCAAAATTTAACAGTAGGGAAACGTTTCACGGTATGACTTTAAGATGATTGATAGAAAGATCTGCCTTTGAAATAAGTATGCTGTTAACTTACTATTTATTTTGAAACCATCTCTTTAATATGTAGGCTTTTTTCCTACTTCATTTCATTCATGTGTTGTGCCTATTCCTGTTCCCAGGAAGTCCCGAGTTGAAAATTTACTGTATTGGAACAGTTGGATTTTCTCTCCATAGTTTATTATTTATTTTTAATTTAAAAAAAAATACAACAAAACCTTTTTGTTCCTTGGTTTTTGTAAGACAGCAGCATATAAACCACTTCCGTAAAAATATATACATTTTGTTGATGGAATTGGTGAAACTTACCTGAAATTCCTGTGATGGTTTTTAATACAGAATTTTGGATCAGAGATGGTTTAGACTTCCTTGTATGATAATACAACTTTTTTTTTACACAGCAGAGCTGTATTATCTCTGTGCTCAGATCAAGCTGCTTTACAAGTATAATTGTTAGCCTAAGACAGATATACCCACCTGTATGAGCATCATAGATTCTTTTTTTCCATTTATGTTTCTGTGGGAGAGAAAAGCAAGATTTTTTTTCTTTTTTTTAACCTGGGTTCTCAGATGAACGGCAAATTATATAGTATGTTGTGTATGAGATAATGACAGGATTGGGAATTGGGGTTGAGATGTCTGGGCAATTATATTCAAAATTCCTTGAGGAAGGTAGAGGTTTGAAGCAATTTCAGTGAATACTCATTATCTCTTTAGCAAGTGAAGTTGCTGTCTTGTTGTAGACAAAGCTGTGACCATTAAGACAATTGCATTTTATAGTTTACATGCATTTATGTAGAGAAAAAGCTCTTAACAGTAGAAATGGATGTGTGTTTCTTTAAAAAAAAAAAAAGTCCTTGTTAATAGAAAAGCAGTATTTCCCACATTTTGGATAGTAGAGCATAGCTGGATCATTTTACTTTCTTCTGCTTTTACACTGACACAGATGGTGGTCTTTCAAATGTGTAGAAAAATATTTCTTAAAGTTAGGAGTAATAAATGCTCTGAAATTTTAGTCATTCTAGTATTTTTCTCAATTTGCATATGAACACTTGAAAATTGCCATGGAAATTGTAGACTGTATAGTACAAATCAGTTTAATGCTTAAGCTTGTGTATTGCCTAAGAACCCTACTGGGGTTTGAATGGAATACGTTTTGGTAAGTGAAGCATAAGCATCATCTGTTCTGAATAGCTTTCCAAGAATTGGTGAATTGGTGTGCTAGACACTTTTAAGGACATGGAGAAGGAGGACAAATGTCATGGTGATAACCAATACTTTCATCACTATGTGATGTGCAACTGCAAGCTGTTTGAAGGGATTTTTGTTTAGGAGAATGAAGATCAATGATCCTTTCATTTATTTAGTCTAGCTGAACAGTGGCAACCTACTTTGCAAACTAAAAATAGAATTGAGTGTATCATTTACGTTTCAATTAATTAAGTGTATCTAGTTTTTTAAAACTTAGTTCCTTTTATTGTCTCTTACCAACATCTTTACAGACATAACTATCTTTAAAAGCACTTTGAAATAAATGCCAAGTCAACAATGTGTAACTGGCTTTCAGGATGTAAAACCCACCACCTAAATTTTCAGGAGTTTTGAAAAGCTTTGCATAGGACCAAGTTTAGTCCTTTCTGTCAAAGTTAAATTCCATTCTTGACTCTAACAATATCAGCAGGGACATCTAGCTTTTACCAAGGGTAGACTTAAGGAAAATGTGTAGGTTTTGCTAGTGAAAATAAAAATCTTTTTTTCCTCTTTACTTTCATCCCTATCCGTGGTATACAGTTGCATGTGAAATAGCAGAAGTGTTTCCAGCACACTTCTGTGTGAGTTTAAGTGCATCAGTCCAGTCTGAACCAGGTTTTCCTGTCTTTTTATTTCCTCCTTTTTGATTTAGCACTGTTAGGGGGGATGGTGTTTAGACAGAAGAACTGAAGCAAAAATCTTCATATAAATGTATACTGAAATGAACAGGTTCACAATCTACAAATGCTATGGTATTCTAGGACATTTATACCCTGAAATATTCTTGTAGTTGAGGTGGTAATCTTTTGTCAAGGTATTGTTTGACCACAGTATGTCTTATGTTTTGATTGCCAGCATTAAATTTTTTATAGAAGTAAAATCTTTCTGTATAACAAAGTCTTCATGGTTCTATCTTTTGATATTTAGCATGCATTCAAAATGTGACTGGAGTTTTGAGATGATGGATAAAAGTATACAGGTATAAAAGGAATTTTAAAAGTCAAATACCCTCTCTAAATTTAAGCAGTTTGCTAATAAATATTTGCAGGAATTAAGAATGACAGTGCTGACAAACTTGTTCATAAACCAACCATAATTCCAGCACTTCTACTAAAGCACTTTACAGGTGTTAAGCATACAGCCTGGAAATCAAGATGTGTATTGTTCCCACTTTACAGACAGCAAAACTGATGTGGAGTGATTGGTTTTGCTCCGTGCCTCCAGGGCTTCTGTGCATGGAAGTAGAGCAGGCTTGTCCTTGACAGTCAAGGTGAATAAGGGAGAAACAAACATACTGTGCCTGTTCTACTGTTATGTTGGGTTTACCTGCTGCTGGAAGTGTTGCACAAAGTGGAAGGTTTATGTTGTGATGTTGCCAAATCGGATGGCTCGCAGACTATATAGCAGTGTCAAATCTCCATGATGTTCCTGAGGCGACCCATAGTGGTGCAAAACCTTCTGCTTGTTCAGAGTGTTACAAGTTGATTTAAAAAAAAAAAAAAGTAATTACACCCTCATTACTTTTGCTTCTTATTCCTCCTTTTCTGTTTACTGTATTTTATTTATAGGTGTTGATTTTAAAATCAAAACAGTAGAGCTAAGAGGAAAGAAAATTAGATTACAAATCTGGTAAGTAAAACAAATGTGCAACCAGCAGTATGTTTTAATTTTTATGTTCTAGCATGAATTAATATGCTTGTCTAATACTATTAACTGTTATAAGCTGGTTTAGCTCTTACACCATTCCTCCTCTCCTCCATTCCCACAAGACTTAAGCAAAACCAAATAGCTCTTAGATTTTTTTTTTCTTTTGAGCGTAAAGGAGGACAAGAAGAGATGAACTTAGAAATAGGACATGAATGTAATTACTGAAATGATAATGCATTACAGAGGTCTCAAGCCCCTTTTCCTAGAAGAATGATATCACCTACCCAAGAAATAGAATAGGAGTTCTACAAACAACAAAAGGTGACTGTGTTGAATACACTAGAGAAAGTACACTTTGGTTTTTTATTTTCTGGACTGTTTAAAATTGACCTTCATTGTAACAGCAATTATAAACCAACTGTGAAGTATTTTCTGAACTGTTTTCTAAAACTTGGTATAGGCAGTGCTGTTTCTTTGATGCTGTATTGAATAACTTTAAAGTGAAGGGCATTCAAAACTAAGTAAATTATATCCACTCTAAGCAGCACTGAGAAGTAAAATGATCCCATGCAAATAAGACTGTATACTTTAACTGGTACTGATGCCCTACTACAGAAAGCTCAAGATTTAAACTAAGCTTTTCCTTTCTGGAGTAGGTTACATGTTTCCTGATAATGGTTCTCCCATGTCAATGGTTAATACATTTTTTTTTATTGTTTCGACATTATTGAGCTTAAGAGCTCCTTTGCTTTGCGGAGTAGCACAATACATAAAAATTGTTATGAGAGAATAAACCAGCTGTGTTCTATACATTGATCTTATATACTACTATGTAGAAGCTTAGCTTTATTAACAGTGCGTGATGCTTAATTGGCATTCTAGTTAAACTGTTAAAGCTGCTAACAATCCATAGAGGGGAAAAAAAGCTCTAAATATACTCGTTACACTTTTGGGATATTCTGGTGGTTTCTCATTCTTAACTATGTGGATGCAGTAAATTCAGCTTACTAACTCCTCTTGGCAGGTCACCATCAACTCTGTTTGTCACACCATGTGTCTGTCTTGCTTCCCTCTGAGTTAACTGCTGCTTCGTCTTTGGTATCATCAATCACCTAACACTTGAATGTTAGTGGCATGTCTTCATCCATCACCTGTCCCTGTTTGGAACCCTATGACCACAAGGCTGGCAGTTGAGCCAGCAATTGTTAGCCAGCGTCTGCTGGAGCTGACAGAGGTAATAAAAAATTCTGATACGGAGATGCTACTGTACACCTGATATGAATTCTTGCTATGAAATGTGCTAAGCTTGTCACACAATTTCTTCATGTTGAATAAACACTTTATAGGAGACGTATCTTGTTGGAAAACAGATGTTTAAACCATTATTTTCCACATATTGAGAATATGCTGGTAGGATATAGGAAACTTTTAAAATTAGAAATTGATAGGTTGCTAAAATGTGACCATTACTTCTGTGTGAAGCCGTGTTAAAAGGTAGAGAAAACACAATGTAAAGAGATAATATTTTAAAATATGATAAAATCCATAAACACAACATCATGCTCCTAAGTGTCACTTTCTCTCCAACAGTGGCTATTAAAATGCTGTTCTTAACTGTTAAAACTGGCATACTTCTAATTTTTGGAAAAGCAATTAGATAAGCACTTCTTTTGCTAATTTATCCTGAATTACATTGTATATGTTGTTGGGCCTATTTATAGTTCTTATTATCATTGATTCACAGAATCATAGAATCATTTAGGTTGAAAAAGACCCTTAAGATCATATGTCCAGCCGTAAACCACTGTGAAGTCCACCACTAAACCATGTCCCTAAGCACCATGTCCACACGTCTTTTAAATACCTTCAGGGATGGTGACTCAACCACTTCCCTGGGCAGCCTGTTCCAATGCTTGACAACCCTTTTGGTGAAGAAATTTTTCCTAATATCCAGCCTAAACCTCCCCTGAAGCAACTTGAGGCCGTTTCCTCTCATCACTTGCTATTTGGGTGAAGGAACCGACACTCACCTTGCTACAGCTTCCTTTCAGGTAGTTGTAGAGAGCAATAAGGTCTCCCCTCCTTTTCTCCAGGCTAAACAACCTCAGTTCCCCCAGCTCCTAAATACCCTCAATTGTTAGATTAAAAGAGGAAAACAATTTACCAAGTCAAACACTTGGAAGTTTAGAAATACAGACTTAAGTTGCATATCTGATCCTAAGTCAGTCTCCTTTCACACCTACACAGAGACAGAATTAAAGTTACCTCATACATCTTGGTAGTCTTACGTGCAATGATTACAGTAACTTTATTACAAAAAACCTGTTTTATTTGGCGAACAGATAATTTCTAAAGCTTATGCTTATCTGTTTTCTTAAAATGACTAAGGTTACGTTTTGAAGCATCAAAGTTGTGGGTTTTTTTAGTCATTTGATGATTCTACTTCAAAAAACAAACAAAAAAAAAAGTTTAACTTTGGAGTTTTTTTGTGGTCACTTGATCTGTCTCTCCACTGACCGCTCTATCATCAGAGTGTTCTCCACAGAGCTGCACCACTTGAGTTTATAACAAAACAGCAGTGCTATGTTGAATATATCAAGCAATTAGGTATGCAAGACATCCTTTTGAAAGCAGCTTTCACACCTGCTGCTGTTAGTAGAGTGTTAGTAGAGCAGTATACAAATGGGACTTATTTCCTGTATTCCTTTCACAATGGGATACTGTGCCCTAAGGATCACAGAGGTGTCCACTCTCGCCTCTAGCTTACATGTTCCTATCTGGTCCCTGCTACCTCACAGTACCTCTTCCCCTATTTCCCTGACTTTCAGTCAGGAAACAACCTCCTGCTCCTTAGATTATGAAATGGTGGAGCAGCACTGGGGACACAGAGTAGCGTCCGTCGTTTCTATGCCACCTGGAACAACAGTAGTGCCCTTTGGGCTGCCAGAAGCAATAGATAAAGTCGTCTTCTGCCTTGCAGTTCTTGGCTGAAACAAACTCGTACGTTCTGTGAGAAGTAATGCACGCATGCAGCTCAGGCCGTGGGGTAAAGTAGCCAGAGCAACTGGGTAGCGTAAGTGTCCACGTGAATCAGTGCTTTTTCAAAGCTTGAAAACTAGACCAAATCATAGGAACCCCACTTTCACGCTTTGAAGCACAGGTGTGCCGGGAGTTGCTCGGCAGGACAGCAGGGTGCCTGAGGAGCCTGGGCACTTGGCTGAAGCAAGCGGCAGTCACTGCTGGCTTCCCCTCTGAAAGGACGTGGTTGCTGGAAGTGGTGCCCTGCCGCTGCACCCAGTTTCCTGCTGGGAAGCCAAAGGGCTTCTCTGGTATCTCCACAAGTTTAATGCCCAAGGAAACCAGACACCTGGCAGGCAAACAGTCTTGATTTGCTTACGAAGGTTTATTTATGTTTTATGGAGGAAAAAGCTCATCTTGACAAGTAGAATTAACCTCTAAAATGACTGAAAACGTATTTTAAAATATTGCCTGTAGGTTCTGTAAAAGCACAGAGCATGTGAAAGTGTTAAATTATTTATGTTTAAAAATATTTTCCTTTTTATTGCCACTTCACACCACCACTCATAAAAAAATTGATTTAACTTCAGAGCCAAAGACAGTTTTGAGTCTGTCCATGTGTTTGTTTCAAGCAACTGTTTTAGATAAACACAGAGAACATTTGTGTAAAATAAAAATTATCCAAACCTATTTTAATTAAGATCAACTGTATTTGTATTGTATTTTGTGCAGTCTGAAATAGTGAGAATATATGACAAGTCAACGCTTGAAAATGGGCTTTGTGTGTGTTTTTATTTGCTGTTGTTTGGTGTAATATTTGTTTGTATTCTTTGGAGTGATGTCTAGTTTCTGTTTTGGAACCAGAAAAACAGAGTCAAGCAGTGGGATTTTATTATTGCAGCTTATAGATGGTCCAGGAGTTATACACTGTATGTTTCTCATTACAATTTAGAAATACCAGTGTTTTTCCATTAGAACAATTTATTGGAAAAATCAATAAAAGAAAACTACTTTTAGCATTAAAAAAGGAGTAATCTGTTGTAGTTTTTTCAGTGATGCCAAATTATTGATCAAGTTGTAGTAATTTATTATTTGGATTTCTGGAGTTTGAATTAAATTGAACTGACTTATTCTATTATGGTGATTCTGACCAGAGCAAATATAGAGCCAGCAGCAGCTAGTATCACTTAGGAAATTCATGAAGTTGTATACTGTTAGCTCAGTTAAATAATGCTCATTTCCTTTTCCAGCTTTCCACTAGTGCTTCAACACCTATCCTTACTAAAATACTCCAGCTGCAGGAGTATAATGCATTGATGAAAACAGTGTAAGAAACTTAATTGCTCCAGCACTGCACATGAAAGGAAGGCATTCTAAATTGGATATGCTTTTAATATTGGCTCTGCATTAGGGGTTGTGATTTTTTCCTCAGTATTGGAAGAATTTCCTGTGCGTTTTCATGAGAAATGAGGTAGCACCTGGTAGAAGATGAGATTTTCCATGTGAAAGATCAACTTGATATTCTTCTCAAACTGCAGCTTATTTAGGTAGCTTTGGGTTGCATTCTAAACTTACTTATTGCAGAAATAGTTTTCCAATTTTCACCTTGCTGTTTGAAGGCTAGTACAATGCTAATGTAATGTTAAGAGACTGCAAATTTGGCGTATTTACTTCCACTTTTCAAAGGAAATAAGGATTAGAATATCATGCTTACAGTAAGAAACCTGTTGACTGGTTTCATTTAAACTCACAGCAGCGGTAGAGGCCTTGGTTTTGTGAAGTGTGGGGAAGTCAACGAGTTAAAGGCAAAGAAAATCAGCCATAATTCACTGTAACTAGCGTGACTGGCAGGTAGCAGTGGCCATCTGGCCATTTAATATATGTAGTGGGCAGCCAGGCTGTCCATGGGTGTGTTAAACTGGCCACAGTTCGTGATGTGTTTCAAATAGCCAGCAAGCCAGACTACAAGTTATGTGATAATTGGGTGAAGGACCTACACAAAGGGGAGTGCAGGACCTGAGGGAACAGCAGCCAAGAGGAGCAGCAGCCTGGGAATACTATAAACTTTTAAAGAGCCTGAGGGTGTTGTGGGGTGAGGAAGGGCTGATAGTACCAGGTAGACTTGGAGATACAACACTCAGCAGGCATGGGGAAATGTGGAGTTGGAGATAGCTGGAGCAGTAGAGTGTAATGTTGCGTTGTTGGCTCTGTTGCCTACCGCATGGCTTATCCAGTGTGTTGATGACTGTCTCCAGGGAGGGTAGTGGAACATTAACGTTTTTATTTCCCCTCTGTTTTTCTAATATATGAACTGAATGATCTGGTACCCTGGTAGGCCCTCTGTGATGGAGTTGCTCAAGGTCCTTAGCACTAACCTGAAGGCCCAGTCAGATGACTCTGAAATAACCCCTTTATTTCTGCGTTCCGGTAGGAGCACAGAAAAGAGGGGGAAGACAAGCCAGCAAAACAAAAAAAAGCAACTTTTTCCATTATTCTGGCCAAACCTAGAATTTGTGCATTTTTCCACACCAGGTATACCCTTCCACCTGCCATCTAGTTCTGCCTGCTCAGAATGATGGAACTAAAGGGATCCCATCCTTAATATGCTTGATCAGTAGGCTGGATTAACAGCAGATGGCAGGGACTGCTCTACAAGGTCATAATTCTGAGAAGTCTGTTCATAAGCACTAAAGCAATGTTATCCATATGTGGAAAATCAACGGTTCGTACTAGAATTTTTAATTTTTTCATGGAGTGAACGTCCAAAGGACCTTTCAAAAAATACATCTGACCATAGCAAAGAAATAATGGAAGAGAAAGTAGTGTTATTTGCTCTGAGTAATACTTAAGTATGTAATTTCAGCTGCCAGAACTTGTATTCCTTTAATAAAAATGCCTCATTAGTGATAAGAAAGCAACCATTTAACCATCTAAAACTGGTGTGAAATACTATTAGAGCTTGACCTTATTGAAACAGGGTACCTGTTTTCACCTTCTGTAGGGTCCCAAAGGGTTGTTTGAATGTAATTCTGAAGTGTTGAGTAGAGAATGGGATTTGAATAAAAATAAAATTAAAATGGATGTGATAGGAATTTGTTCTATTCTGCCCTGTATTGCAATGCCATTGGCTTGCACTGAAGCATTAGTCAATATTTTTCCACAGGCTATGAAGCCAAGGTTTCAAATCTTTTTCTAGTAGACACTGCGTTACCTTGTGAAATCACTAGCAAAGATTTGTTGCTATCAAGTACACTTGTGGCAATTTCAGGAAAAAGTGAAGTACTTCACTTTAAACCTTCTTAGCTGAAATTCTTAAAGATTTTGTGAAGAGCAAGATAGGTTTGTGGTAGTTTATTCTACTGCTTGTTGTGCGTAGACTTTAAAAGAATTAATTCTTCAGGACAATCAATGTGGCATTTTGTGAACATGACTTTTGTTTTGGCAACAAGTGTTTCAGGTCTCCATTGTTAATCTCATTCCCAAATTCATCCTCCTCCTCCTTCTGTCTAAAATGTGACTGTTGAAGAGAGTTCCTTTTGAACTATTGAGTCCCAACACACATGCACACCTTTCCCCCATCCACTCTTAATTTTGGTCCATCTTTTAACTTGCAGTAACAGTGAAATTTCAAAATTATCCATTGACTCTGGGGGCTGAACTCAAGCAGCAAATGCTTGATCGCTTTGCAGCACCATATAGTTTACTTTCCAGTTGTGATACCAGTCACATTTTAAGACTTAGGGTATGTACCAGCTATTTTTTAGTATAACTGCCAAAAATCTTCCATAAGCAGGCTTGATGATATGATTAAAAGCAGATCACAGGTTTTCATGGTTCAAGTAAAAAATAACCCTTCTGTCTCATGTACTTTGGAGTATAAGCCATCACTAGTACGAGCGACATGGTGTCATTGCTGGAAAATAGTCTCCAGTGTAAATGCACCCTGTGTGAAATACCTACAATGCTGAAAGTGAGATTGGAAATGTAATTTGAACACCTCAGATTAGTAGATGTAAGCATGAAAGCCAGGTACCTGCTTTCAATAGCTGTACCACATAGTAGTTTCTCACTCTTTTCATTCACTTCTGCTGGTAGCTTCTGCATGAGTTTTAGAACCATGGCTGAATTGCTGTGGTTGATCCAAAAAGGCTCTGAAAGCTCGAATCATAATGTTCAGTGCATTGCTGATTTTATAGTTGGGTGTCTGGCTGTGTTTGATAAGCATGTATCCATTTCTTTCTTAATTTTTTCAGGGCTATTAAAAAAAACAAAAACCAAACAAACACCCCCCCCACACACAAAACAAACAAACAAAACCAACAAAAAACCCAAACCAAACCAATTAACCCCAATAACACAAAACCAGCTTCATCTGCTGGTACATTTTCATTGGGCAGCTTCATTCTCAGACACATGTAGAACTGTTTGGTGGCCTTTCTTGGTGAAGTTAGTATGGGATAAGTAGTCCTGATATAAAAACTTTCTATGATTGAAAGTACTGCTCCATTTTTTTTGCCTGAAATTCACACATATAGAAGGAAATGTTCAATACAGAGCGTCTAATGAGTGTGGAGGTTTTTTAATTAAAATGTAAACAAAGTTATTCTCTACTTTGCATATTGTTGAAATATTTGTGCCAATGTTTGCTGCTGCTTCTTAGGGACACAGCAGGTCAGGAGAGATTCAACAGCATTACCTCAGCTTATTACAGAAGTGCCAAGGGAATTATTTTGGTGTATGATATCACCAAGAAGGAAACATTTGACGATTTACCAAAATGGATGAAAATGATTGATAAGGTAGGCCTTAAGTATTTTCTTTTTACATGTTTTTTTTTAAGAACAAAAAAATGCTCTCTAAGACATTTAACAGCATTGATATAGGATTATTAAAATAGTGCCAACTAGTTTTCACTGGATTCTTTTAGCCAGAATTTAACATTAATGTGTTTTTGTTGCAAAACAGTTGTCCATTCCTGCTTCCTTGAGCTAGAAGTGTCCCAGTTAGAAGCGTCGGTGGAAACCTGTAACATTATTCATTTACCTGTGCATTGAGGGAGGAAAAGTTTTATTTCCTGTCTATGAAATAAGGTCATTATGTTCATTCTTAGATAAACTAGAACAGCTAGTTCTCAAGTCATGTTTTGAAAATGGGATTTAAAAATTGAAGTTGAAAATTTTGGAAATAATGTTTGGGAAGAACATTTACATATAAACTGTGTAGGTGTGGTTCCTTTTTTAGTAGAGGAATTGCCCTTTTTTAATATTGTGTTTGCATTACAAAAATCTTATGTTTCTAGGTTTAGTTGATAAAATGTTTTAATTGCAGTATGCTTCAGAAGATGCAGAGCTTCTATTAGTTGGAAATAAACTGGACTGTGAAGTTGATCGAGAGATTACTCGACAGCAGGGAGAAAAGGTAAGAATAGGCCTAACCAAATTCTTAGTTACTGCTAGAAGCAAGACTGCTGTGGCATTGCTTATGGCTACTCTTGTTCAGACTGTTAGACCTAAGGAACATATTGAGAGTGGTGATGTTCTGTCAAAATCCATATGGTATTTACTTTTATAAAGCATGCAGTTATATGCGTTCCCGCTGAAGCAGTATGTCTTTGATCTAACAAAAGACGAAAGAGTAAACTATGAGTTGGCTTACTCTAACACAGTAGTACAGGGGATACTCCTTTTTGGGCTCTGGAAGAGGATATGGTGAAGCCTTGAATCATGAATGGAGATGCCTCTACTCAGGTCATCTTTGTGAGCCTTCTTCCAGACATTGGCTCTTCAGTAGTATTTTAGGATAGGCAACAACCCTGCTTGATTACTTAGCTAAACTTTGTTTTCATGTTTCTTTTGTTCCCTTCCTATTCCAAAAGCGGTAAGGAACCTGACAAGAGAATATGTTTTAGCATGGCACTCACAGAACTGTCCTGATCAGACTCTGTCAGTATGGACATACACAAACCTTTTCCTTCAGCTTCCTGTTTGGAAGTGTGCATTTTCTGTTAGAGAGTCAAGGCTAATTCTTACATCTGTACTTCCCTTTTCTGCATTGTAATAATGAGGTTGAGATTACTTAACTCTTCTGAAAAGTTCTTACTTTTTGGCAATTTACAGCAATCCATGTCAACTGAAGACATTAATTTCTCAGATTTAAGTCTGTAAAAATCCAGCACGCTTTTCTAGTAAACTAATTTTAGGTGAAAATTGGCTATATGTAGCAATATTTGTTGTACCTTGGAGATTGAGAATTATGGAGTTAGACTTCAGTCACAGATTTGGGGAAAGTTGTGGGGTTTTGTAAAGGTTTTGTGAGCAGTCTGTATTTGCTGTTTGTTGCTGTTTGTGCGTATCTTCATGTAGTTATTTTCTTTTCTCTTCCATCAGTTTGCACAGCAAATAACTGGTATGCGGTTCTGTGAAGCAAGTGCCAAGGATAATTTTAATGTGGATGAAATATTTCTAAAACTTGTTGATGACATTCTGAAAAAGGTAAACTATTCAGGTGGTAGTTCCTCTGACCACATAAATGGTCAATGTTTAAATAACGAGTGCAGGTACTTGTTGGGAGAACATAGAGGGCAAGTGCACAGATTCAGGTGAAGTTTTTGGTTAATATGTAGTGGGCATGATGTAGCTCACAGACTCTGCTGAACACTTCAGTTAATAAATACTGTTAATAAATACTGCTGTTGAATTTGGTAAACATCTGCTCCTATTTGCTATACTTCCTCTTTCCTATAACTTCCCTATGTATCAGCAGCCGACTGTACATTTGCCTGCTTTCATTTGCAGGCAGTTCTGTTGTGATTTGTTGTAACTGGTTTAGGAAGTGGCTTTATTTTGGAAATGTCTTGTAAAAAGAAATCCTTAACACAACTTACTCAAATGTAGTTCACTAATAAGAAGCAAAAGACCCTTAAATTGAGGCTTTGGCTGACAGTGACTCTTGAAACGAGCTCTTTGTGCTGAGTTCTATGCAGATGACTGTTTACAGGTGATTTTTCTTTTCTTTAAGATGCCACTGGATGTTATAAGAAATGAGTTGTCCAACAGTATCCTGTCCCTGCAACCAGAGCCAGAAATCCCACCAGAACTGCCTCCTCCAAGGCCACATGTCCGTTGCTGTTGACTTGTTACTCCATACAGAGTGAAAAATAGGAGCAGGAGGGTGAAGAAAGTATCTGTACTACTCTGCACTACAATCATTTGGCAGTTTCTTGTTGCACTTTGTTATTCAAGTCAGAGCTACACACTAACTTGTAAATATGCAAATATGCAATCCTATGTAGGATTCAGCTATAACATTTAATTATTACCCCTCTCCCTCACAATGATGTTTCATTCATTGCCCCAGTGTTATAAATACTGTACAGTCGGTGGGGGTTTACCACGCTTCCAGTCGAGGAGGAGGAGAAATTAAATCTATACCTATCTTGATATAAATGTTGTAATAGTTCTTTGTTATTATAAACAGGCAGGCAGAAGCTCTTCTGATATGAAGATAAGTATATGGTGCTTTGCTAACTATTTTAAAGACAAATTTTTTAAAAACAGAAGACTTTATGTACAAAGCTTCCATAATCAGCATTATGTTTCCTTTTAATGTAGTGAAAACATTTTCAGCTGTAGCATCCTCTGCTGACTGGATTTATTGAAAAGCTAAGTTTAATTTTGGGCAGTCTTTTATTTATTTTGTTTAATGCTGCACCCTTTCTTTGTGTGCCAAGACATCACATCTGGTGCAGATCTAAGATTGCACTCTGAAATAGTATATATAATTTTCTGCGTAAGCATAAACTTGGTTGCAAGAATCATTAAGTTTCAATAAAAGAATGGAAATATATTCGAAATCTAAAAGAAGGTATAAAAAGCAATGCTGCTGTCCTAGACAAATTCTTTAAAAAAAAAAAAAAAGATGATACATTTTCCTGTGTTAAGGAATATATATGTGTATTTGTCTGGACATCTGTAGGGTTGGGGGGAAGGGAACCTAAGGTAAAATTATTTTCGTTCCTAATGGTGGAAATTATTCCCATCAAGCAAATACTGTGTTAGGTTTTTGTCTGATAATGAATTTGTGAATTATATCTTTGGTATATCTTTTATTAAAATGCACTGTTTAGTTTAGCTGTGGTAAATCAGTAGTTACATATTTGAATAACTTGGTGTGTCCTGAATGTTGTGGTATTGAAAAACATTGTGGTCTTTCTAAACTAATGAAGTGCAAATAAAATTTTGTATTTATGAATGACAGTGGAACTGCACCTGTTATTAGAATGGCAAGTATCAAATGATGGGTAAAAGGTAGAATCAGGAATATGGAACAACATTTGTTTTAATTTTGTTATGATTTAATGTTCAGTTTGATAGTTCCTTTAGGTGTAGTTAGAAGAGCAGCAGACATTAGTTGTTCACCTTGATCACTGCTCTGTTGGGAGAGCAGCTGATGACCTGGCCCAGGTGATATCTTCAAATAGCATGTGACTGCTTGTCATGCTGTCTTGGCAGGTGGTCACCAAACTATTAATTACACTGGCAACACAAGTGTGAACCAGTCTTTTTCACACTACAGCTTCTCTACTTCTCATTCTCTGGTGCTGGAACCCATTTTGTCACTTTTGCCACTCTTCTAGCCAGAACACTGACACTGACCAGTAAGGTATACCACTGACTTAAACAACTTCTCTGTTTTTAGGAAGGGAAAAACACACAACAAAATGTTAACATTAAAAACAAAACAAAACAAAACTAAAAATAAAAAATGAGCCCTTATTTCACTGAGCAAGCTCTGACATGCTAAATACAATACCATGCAGGTCTTTAGCACACCTGGATTTCAACTGACAAATTAAGGAAGCATGGTTGATGTTTGTGCTTATGTCTTCTGCCACCTTGTGCCTAAATGGTTTGCTTTTTTACATAGTAAACTTACGGTTTACTATCATATTGGTAAGATAAAATCAATTTCTAAAGCACTTGTAGGATTTCTCATGGTACTGTGGGCAATAGCAAGGAAAGAAAAATTATGGAAAATGGGTTTTAACTTGACAGCCATTTTATTTTAGCTGATTTGTTTTTCTTTGTACTTAGAAATTTGTGATTTTTTTTCCTGCAGTTTTGAATTTAATAAAAATTAAGAAATTTGACTTAGATAAACTTTCTTTTTGTAATTCTGTGCTCTTTGTATATAGGTAGCTTGGGATCCCAGTCTCTTGTACCAAAAATTAAAAATTACTGCATTTGAGAAAGACTTATTTATGTAAGAGTGCTTTAATGTGTTTGATTATTCATTGGAAATCATAAAAAGTTCAGGAAACCTGTTTGCTTTGCATCCGTTATACTATGAGTCCAAAAAGGGTTTTGTCTCCTAATTTTATCTCTGCAACTTTTATGAGAGTCAAAAAAAAGTTCATTTATGTCCTTGTTCTACCTAGCAGGCCTTTGTAGTGTGGTGCGGAAAGATGGATGGGGAAAAAAAGTTATTCTTGCTTTCTCCTATGGAAGTTCAACAGGCAGCCCAACCCTCATTGACATCTAATGGACTGTTTGAGTGGTCTGCACAACCATTGAGAGATCACAGGGTGAAAAAAAGGGAAGATGTGCACTAGCTGCAGCTAACTTGTGTTAGCAGATGGCTGCTTTAGGAGCCCTGGTTAAGGGTAGCGCATTTCCCACTCTTCAGGGTGTGTGAGGGGATTGTTTCCTTCTAATACCGAACACAACATGCTTTATCACTAACCTCATCAGATGCTGCCAAGGTCTTCTAGTCCCTGGCAGTTTCTTCCTGCTGGAGAAGATACACAGGTGTGTCTTTTGACAAGCAAGCATGGCAAACAGAAATCACAGGAGTGTCAGAAATAGGATAGTGAATCTATCTATTCCAAAGCAGTGGTGCTTTCTTGACTTTCATGAAATAATGGTAGCTAGATCGTGGCCATTGAACAGTGGTTTGCCACTGATTTAAGTGTGGTTGGGATTTAATCCATGAAGTTCCTGAAGTTGCACAATTTCTGTGGTTTATCTGGTTAGCACTTTATCTTGTAGCAAAACCAAAGTTCATATCTATCAAAAGACAGATAAAATATTTGATTGTGTCCATAAAGTTTTAGATCTGCTATAATAGACATTCAACCAGTGGGTTGAGTTAGCAGATCATTTTTTCATAGGTAAACAGAAGAAAAGGAGGAAGACTGGTAATTTCTCTTTTGTTCAATACTGAGTCGTGATATGGAAAAAGATGAAAACCACTGGCTTACCAGGACATCTTGAATTATGCACTGTTTTGTTGTGTGCGCGAAAGGAATAGTGACAGTCACATCTTGCTTTCACCAGGTGTTCTGCTCCTTCAGGGCAGAGATGCACCACTAATGTCAACATTTGGTACTTCTGACAAAGGAGGACAAGAACAAGGTGGGAAAAAAGACAGGAAGTTAAAAGCCAGGATACGGTGACTTGCTAAAGCAAATTTAGGGCTACGTGTTTGTGTCCTTGCTGGAGATTTCAGCATTGCCTCATTTTTAGAATCATAGAATTGTTTAGATTGGAAAAGATCTTTAAGATCCCCGAGTACAACTGTAAACCCAACACTGTGAAGTCCAACACTAAACCATGTCCCTGAGCACCATGTCCACATGTCTTTTAAATATGTCCAGGAGTGGTGACTCAGCTGCTTCCCTGGGCAGCCTGTTCCAATGCTTGACAACCCTTCTGGTGAAGAAATTTTTTCTAATACCCAATTTAAACCTCCTGTGATGCAACTTGAGGCCATTCCTCTCTTCCTGTCATTTGCTATGTGATACTCAGAAGAGACTGACACTCACCTCGCTACAACCTCCTTTCAGGTAGTTGTAGAGAGCAATAAGGCCTTCCCTCAGCCTCTTCTTCTCCAGACTGAAAAACCCCAGTTATCTCAGCTGCTCCTGGTATAGACTTGTTCTCCAGACTCCTCACCAGCTTCGTTGCCCTTCTTTGAACGTGCTCTAGCATGTCAGTATCTTGGAGTGAGGGGCCCAAACTGAATACAATATTCAAAGATGCGGCCTCACCAGTGCCGAGTACAGGGGCACAATCACTTCCCTACTCCTGCTGGCCACACTATTCTTCATACAGGCCAGGATGCTCTTGGCCACCTGGGCACACACTGCCGGCTCATATTCAGCCACCTGTCAACCAACATCCCCAGGTCCTTTTCTGCTGGGCAGCTCTCCAGCCACTCTACCCCAAGCCTGTAGCGTTGCATGGGGTTGTGACCCAACAACAACCTATGTGACCTGGTACTTAGCTCTGTTGAACCTCATACAACTGGCCTCAGCCCATCAATCCAGCCTGTCCAGATCCCTCTGTAGAGCCCTCTTACCCTCAAGCAGAAAAACACTCCTGCCCAACTTGGTGTCATCTCCACACTTATTGCGGGTGCAGTCAATCCCCTCATCCAGACCACTGATACATTAAACAGAACTGGCCCCAACACTGAGCCCTGGGGAACATCACTTGTGACCGGCCACCAGCTGGATTTAACTCCATTCACCACAACTCTCTGGGCCCAGCCATCCAGCCAGTTTTTTTTACCCAGCAAATAGTGCACTCGTCGAAGCCGTGAGCAGCCAGTTTCTCCAGGAGAACGGTGTGGGAGATGGTGTCAAAGGCTTTACTAAAGTCCGGGTAGACAACATCCACAGCCTTTCCCTCATCCATTAGGTGTGTGTCCCCTGGTCATAGAAGGAGATCAGGTTGGTCAAACAGGACCTGCCTTTCATATATCCATGCCAACTGGGCCTGATCACCTGGTTGTCCTGCGTGTTCCGTGTGATGACACTCAAGATGAACTGGTCCATAGCCTTCCCCAGCACCAAGGTCAGACTGACAGGCCTGTAGTTCCTTGGATCCTTCTTCCTGCCCTTCTTGTAAATGGGCATCACATTTGCTAACCTCCAGTCAACTTGGACCTTCCCAGTTAGCCAGGACTGCTGATAAATGATGGAAAGTGCCTTGGTGAGCACTGCCTCCAGCTCCCTCGGTACCCTTGGGTGGATCCCATCTGGCCCCATAGACTTGTGTGTGTCTAAGTTGTGTAGCAGGTCGCTCACCATTTCCCCTTGGATTATGGAGGCTTCATTCTGCTCCCCATCCCTGTCTTCCAGCTCAGGGGGCTGGGTACCTGGAGAACAACTGGTCTCAATATTGAAGACTGAGCCAATAGCTGGATTAGGTTGTAATTGGTCTTTGGCCCTTCTAATTTTCTCCCTGCATAACGTCACAACATCCTTGTAGTCCTCCTGAGTTGCCTTCCCCTTCTTCCCAAGGTTATAAACTCTTTTTTTGTTCCTGAGTTCCAGCCAAAGCTCTCTATTCAGACAGGCCAGTCTTCTTCCCTGGCAGCTCGTCTTACGTCACATGGGGACAGCCCGCTCCTGCACCTTTAAGGTTTCCTTCTTGAACAATGTCCAGCCTTCCTG